GAGGTGGGCGGAGCATGCGCTATAGGGGCAATCTGAACTTTGTTACTTTTCTCTTAAGCTCTGGAAGATTCCGAGAGGACCAGCGCAGGCACTGTTTTAACCCACTTGTGTGCATTCACAGAGCCACAATGAAGAACACTGGAATTATGATCACTGCCTATGATATCAGTTCTACTAAATATGCATTTATCTTAATACAGATTGTGTTCACGAAGAGAGTGGAGTAGAGTAATTCAAACTTCATCACCTTCTCTTTCCACTGAATGATCAACAAAAGAAAAATATTCTTTTTAAAAAATATTTTTATTTTTCTTATAAGGGTACGGTAAGGTAGGGGACAACTGGGATGGGGATATCCTTGGGGGGATGGATTTGAACGGATGAGGGGACAACTGGGATGGGGATATCCTTGGAGGGATGGATTTGAACGGATACATTACAGATCAATATTTTCCATAGTAATTCTATACATTCTATCTAGTAATATTTCTACATATCAGAGAGAAATATAAAGAGTGAACAAAAAGGAAAATCAAATTTGTACCTAGTAATATTTCTACATATCAGAGAGAAATGTAAAGAGTGAACAAAAAGGAAAATAAAATTACTGTTCTGATTATTGATTATATAGTTGATTGTCTTTATCCATTTTCATATATTTTTCTTTCATTTCTTATGTACCATGGCACTTTTTTATTTCCCAGGGGATATAGTTCAGTGTCTTCTGATTCCTTCCTTCTTTTTGCTTATCTTGTGGGGGATAATTTTTGGGGGTGGTTAATAATAAGGAAATTATTCTGGCCCTCTCTATGTTCCCCTTAATTTCCTCCTTCTCACATTCCGCCCAATCTGATAATAAGTCAGTTGTAACTTCTAGGAGGTCTTCATTTTGAGTTTCTAGTATATTCTGTATTCTCAGAATATATAATGCATTCTCTATCTGGGTTTGAATCGTAGATCTTTTCCATAGCAATTCCATACATTCTATCTAGTACTATTTCTACATATCAAAAAGAAATATAAACAGTGAGCAAAAGGGAAAATCAAATTTGGACCATTATATTATTGTTCTGATTACTGATTATATAGCTGGTAGTCTTTATCTATTTTCATATATTCTTCATTTCTTATATACCACGGCACTTTATTTCCCAGAGGATATATTTCAATGTCTTCCAATTCCTTCCTTCTCTTTGCTTATCTTGTGAGGGATTTTTTTTGGTAGATAATGAGGAAATTCTTCTGGGCCATCTATGTTCCCCTTAATTTCCTCCTTTTCACAACCCACCCAATCTGATATTAAGTCAGTTGTGATTTCTGGAAGGTCTTCATTTTGAGTTACTAGTATATTCTGTATTCTCAGAATATATGATGCATTCTCTATCTGGGCTTGAATTGTTGATGTCTCATACTGGTTTTGTCGGATTTCCACTTTTCTTAAGTATTCTAAAATTCTTTTCCTTTCTTCTCCATTTTCTTTGCTGATCTAGCTGTCTTCTGAATCGTTGATGTCTCATATTGGATTTGTTGGGTTTTTACGTTTCTTAAGTCCCTCTGAAGTTCTATTACTTTCTTCTTCATTTTCCTTGCTGGTCTCGCTGTCTTCTGTATTTCTTGATTTTGCTATGTTACCTCCTCTTTCATTTACCCTGATTGTAAATGTATGTCCTCCTGCTGTTTGGAAAGGTATGACACTTTAGTTTTCAAATCTGAAATATCCAACTTAATTTCGTCAAATTTCCTATCAAATGGGCTGTCTGTTGGCTGAACATGGTGCTCATGAGCTTCTCAAAATTTTCTTTTGTTAACAAAGAGGACTGGGTTTCTTGCATCAGTCTCACTGATATAATTTCTGGTTCTGGACTTAACTTTCTCCACCTTAAGTTTTGCAGCCATTTTTATAAGAACCTTTATATGACAGTTCTTCAATATTCTCCACTGGTATCTGCTTTTTCCCTTCTCCCTTCTTATGTAGATTTAAATAATCTAATAAATTAAGGATGTATACATATGGAGAGATATAAGAACAGCCAACAAACACAAACACAAATCAATCAGCCAACAGATGGGGATCACCCAGTATGCACTAAATCAAACAAAGAGTCAATGTTATTAATGAAGAGGGGAAACTTTCCTTGATCACTTCTACACAGAGAGAATATATCCTAGATATAATAGCTATAGTCAATATTACTCCAAGAAGTCTATTAATGTCTAGAATTGAGAAAGAAAAAGGCCAAAGCCAGCTAGTTCAGCATTCTGGGCAACTTTCCAGACTTCGAGTAGAAGGAGAGAAGATCAGGTATTGTGGAATAGAAGCTCCTAAGGGGAAAAAAAGAGAAAAAACTCTTCCAACGTCACCACCAAAAATATATTTCAAAACCAGGGAAATTAAGATAATAAATGCAAAGAGCTATTTTTCAACTCCTCCCCCAACCACTCTCAACAAAAGAAATAAAATCAAGAAGAAAGAAAATTAGACTGCTATCTATTCACTTTTATAATCCACTAGGGTGTTGCTTTAATTATAAGCAGCCTCCATTTTCTGCTTTCTTCTCTGTACCAGACTTGTTGATTTCTTCCAGCACAGATAGTATTTCAAGTGAGTGTAGGCACATTCCAAATGATTAATATTGTGGAACAGTTCAATACTATTCAGTAGTAACCACCAGGACTCTAAGGGGGAATTTTACAGAGAGATAGTTTAGCAGTCCATCAGACTAAAATCTGTTTTAACAAGCTTCTGTGTTCCCTGCCATCCACTTCAGCTGTCCGCTTCTGAATGTTTTCAATGTTCAGTCTTACAGCCTACTACTCCCACCTATCTTCATATATCACAGTAGCTTTTCAGGTGTTCAGCTCAAATACAGTGGTGCCTCGCTTAGCGAGTGCTTCGCTATGCGATGAATTCGCATAGCGAGGGGGGCCGGGCCATCGCTGGAGCGTTCGCTCAGCGATGGCCCCTATAGCGTTTTTTCGCTTTGTGATGATCGCTAAGCAATTCGCTTAGCGATTTTCACAGAGCGAAGCGGGGAGAACAGCTGATCAGCGGTTCCAAAATGGCCGCCTGTAGGTCCGCGCCGCATTTTCACGCCCTGCCCTCGCTTACCGAGGGCGCGAAAATGGCGGCGCTATGGAAAAACATCGCTTAACGGTGAGTTTTAAAGCCACAGGAACGCATTGAACGAAGTTCAATGCATTTCTATGGCTTTTTAATTCCCGTTTAGCGATGTTTTCGCATAGCGAAGGTTAATCCGGAACGGATTAACCTCGCTATGCGAGGCACCACTGTACATTAGTAAAATAGATTTGCTTACACTGGTGTCTATATATCTGGGATATAACTGTGTATCCATTCTCCTCCAGCCTTCTAGACCACATCAGTTTTACAGACCTGTATGGAGTCCTGCCAAAGAGAATGCTGATGTTCTGGGATAGGGAGGCAGCGTCCAGCTTCTCTTCTTTGGAATATATTTTCCTCTCCTGGAAAACTAATTAGGCTATCTCAAGCCTACAGAACCTCCATCAGTGGTTACAATTGGGAGAGAGCTCCCAATTTGCAACCTCCATCCATCTGGCCCTGCCTCCTCAGAACTCAAAAGAAAAATACAGTCAACCCTCGACTTACGAACGGCCCAAGTTATGAACATTTCAACTTACGAACCACTCCGTTGGAAAAAATTGGCATCAACTTGCGAATGGAGCCTCGACCTATGAACGAGGCTCCATTCGCAAGTCGATGCCAATGGAGTGATCGGCGCCTTGAGAGCTCTCAAAGGGCTTCCTCTGATGTCAGGCGGAAAGCCCTTTGAGAGCTTCTAAGGCAAAAAGGCAGGGAGAAGGGGCGGTAAATATGAATTTCCAAACGGCTTTCCCCCCCCAACATCGGAGGAAGCCCTTTGAGAGCTCCGATGGCAAAAAGGAAATTCAAATTTCCTGCCCTTTCTCCCTGCCTTTTTACCTTCAGAGCTCTCAACGGGCTTTCTGTCCGACATCAGAGGAAGCGAAGGCGCAGATCGCGAACACCCTGACATACGAACAATTTGACTTACGAACAGCTCCAGCCGCAAAATATTGCTTTGACTTGCAGCCAAAGCTTTGATCTACAAACAAAAAAAGGCAGGGGGAAAAGGGCAGGAAATTCAAAAAAAACCCTAACTGTTGGTGGTGAAGAGGCTGCTTTTCTGTAGCTCTTTCGCCCCGACAGTCAGGGAAAGGGAGGATCAGCCTCCCAGGGTTCCAGCTGCACTGCCATCACTGCCTTCAGAGGCCTCCCAGGGCTTCCCTGCCACCATGGGAGACCTCCCGGGGGTCCCCCGCCACCGCAATCTGCACCTTCAGGCTTTCCTGGGGGAAAAGCCTGAAGGTGCAGATCGCAGGGGCAGGGGCAGCCCCAGGGCGCATGGTTGAAGGCAGCGCTCACCCAGCACCGGGAGGCTAGAGCCGGCCGGGTGCCTGGCCACTAGCCCCCGGCTGCAGCAGAGGCAGCGGAGCGCCGGGAGGCTAGTGCCAGCTAGGCACCTGGCCGCTTGCCCCCGTCCATGCAGATGCAGCAGAGTGCTGGGAGGCTAGAGCCGGTGGGGCACCTGGCTGCTCGCCCCTGGCTGCGGCAGAGGCAGTGGAGCACTGGGAGGCTATTCTATTCTTGCTAGCTTCCACAAACTACTATATATCCTATAGGACCGCTAAATTTGTTAAATGAGCCATGGAAAGATGGAACCTACTGCCTGCTTCACAAGTTCCTCAAGTTAATCTTACATCTTGATTCTTTTTTGAGAATGCATATTTTATTATTTTATTATGATTATTTTATTATTTTATGCTTTCCACACTTGTTTATATGTACTTATATGAGATGCCAAATACTATTAAGATTGGTTTAATCTATGCTCTTGCATACAGCTTGATCAGCTAAAAAGCAATAAAGTATTTGAGTTTTCGAGTATAAAGATGCTTGAAACTAATTTTCAAATATTGATAAAAACAGGTAAAATTTTTACCAGTGCTTGAAGAAACCTGATCAATTCTCCATGAGGTGTTGAAAAGGGCTTTATTGAGCTGAAGCTACAGTTATTCAACCAATGAAGGCAGTCAGTTGTATCCTGCAGCAATTCATCAGAACACGTTTCATTTATTTCCTGTTGCAGCTCCTTAAGACATTGTTCCATGCTACAGCAAAAATAAAACCAAACATTTTCACTATTAAAAAAATACTACTCTCTTTACAACAAGGTATTCAACATTATCTATAATGCTACTCCATTAATTTATCATACAACATTAATGCTTCACTGATGGTATGACTACAGAGATGTCTTAAGGCAGTGGGGCTTAAAACAACTGGGTATATCTGACTATTGTCAGATATTTCTAGGATTCCACGCAGTTCCAAGCCAGAACATTTATAGACACCAGTTCTGTTATTCAAATAGGTTTGACATAGCTACTGTACTTCCCTACAGCTAGTTTCACTTATTTCAGAAATACTTTGCCTTCTAATGGTTGCTGTCAATATCATTAATGGTCCTTGTGCCCACGAGTCTTGCAGAATGTAGGGAGCTGAATGGAATCACAGGGCAAGGGCACAAAGTTTGCTCCTAGTGCTCAGCAGCTGTAAATATTGTGGTCTACTACTGGTGGCATGCCAAAATCTCCACAAGGATACATAATCATCTCCTGGGCCCTGACATGTTCTGGTGCCAAGAATTCAGAGTTTACATGAGGACACAAAAGATCCAGTGATGCAATATCCTCCTCTGAGTATTTCCTCTTTTAGTCAGGATCTGTAAGCTGACAGAACAAGTCATCACTGATAGCAAGGTTAAATCATTTTGGATACAGATTTTCGAAACATTCTTTCAGAAGCATTTTTCTTTCAACAGTACAGGCATGTACAGGTTACAAGAATTCAGGTGAGGTTCTGAGAAAACATTATCAAGTTTATATTTTAAAACAGTGGTTCTTAACCTTGGGTTACTCAGGTATTTTTGGACTGCAACTCCCAGAAGCCTTCACCACCAGTTGTGCTGGCTGGGGTTTCTGGGAGTTGCAGTTCAAAAACACCTGACTAACCCAAGGTTAAGAACCACTGCTTTAAAAGATGATAGATGCACTGAAATTCACGCAAAACTGTTAACGATAACATCTAGATTTATGTTTTAGGAGAAGACTGTGTGAAACAAAGTAAGAAATCAAATACTTATTTTAATTTCATTTAAAATTAAGCTTCCAACATACTCAGTAGTAACTTATAACAATTGGTAAAGGTTCCCCTTGACATTTAGTCCAGTCGTGACTGACTTTAGGGCACGGTGCTCATCCCCGTCTCCAATGTTTGTCTGTAGACAGTCTCTGTGGCAATGTGACCAGTGCAACTAGACACGGAACGCCGTTACCTTCCCACCAAGGTGGTACCTATTTATCTACTTGTACTTTTACATGCTTTCGAATGGCTAGATTGGCAGGAGCTGGGACAAACGACAGGAGCTCACTCCATCGTGTGGATTTGATCTTACAACTTCTGGTGTGACGATCACCTCCTTCAGGCACCTACGTTTTGTGCCCTCACAAAGGTTCTAGTCATTTTCCTTTCACTGCCACCAGTGGATTACTTCAATCCACAAAATAAATGATGTTTGATCAGACACTGGTATGATGAATGCAAACAAAACTTATTTATTAAAGTGAAGACAATTTAATAATCACAGAAGTTCTTCAGATGTACATACTATTCTCTTGCCATATAATTTCCACCTTCTCTATCTATTTATCTTAACCAGTCTCTAACTCAATCTCTCTTTTGCCTCCGACTCTCTGACTCTCGCTAACTCACTCTGACTGACTCCTCCTCTCAGGCTCCGCCTTTTAACCTCTCTCGGCTCTGCCTCTCCACCACATCAGCATAGACATAAATAATACATATACCTAATAAAGGGTGACCTCTACAGCTGGTCTTCTGACCTTGCAGCACAGAGGCTTCTGCAGTTTAACCTGCAGCGCCACCACGTCCCTTAACAAGTGGCACAGAAAGCTTAAGGTAAAAATTCATTCTACTGCTATTTTATAAATTCAGTTCTGGAATAACTGGCTCTTTTATGAATTAGTAGTAAGAAGAGGAAACAAATGATATTAATAAACAGTTTATAGATGGTATGAATAAATAGTCACCTCCTCCATAAGGTCAATTAATTCAATGGGACTACTATTAATATACCAAGTTCACAGTTAGAGTAGGCCCATTTGAATCAATGGAACTTACAGCTTTTAATTAGTTTCAGTTGTTACCAGTGCCTGCATAATTTTATGCAAACATAAACATTTTATTTTGCCCAATATAAGCTTTCATTAGACAATAAATTTCAGTAACTTGCTCCCACAATGGTAAAATGATTAGATAGAGTTGTTTTTTAAAATTTATTTTTAACAAGGGGTGGCAAAAAGGAAAAAGGGAATTGAGGTTAAGGGGGGAAAGGAGAAACAATAGCATACTAACATCCATTCTATACATATTGCCATATCAAAATTCCAAATTGCTCTTTTTACTATTTTCCAGATTTAAGTTCTCATTTCACTGTATGCTCTTGGATAGATAGAGTTTAAGAGACCTCACTGAAGGAGAAACCACAATCACACACAGTAATACATATATCATTCCATGGCCGAAATCCTGTTGGTGTAAGTTTATACTATGTAAGACAGATGACATTATCATTTAGTGACAGAAATTCTGAATTTCTCAGTTGAGGGGTCCTCAGATACTAGAAAATTGCTCCCAGTGGTCCCACAGCTGGTGGCAATCCAGCAGTGATTTCCCAATATTAAAGGCTCTCCTCCTCATCCTCCCAAAAGCTTCTCAAGGGCAAAAGGGTTCCCAAAGGAATCTTGAAACCTTTTGGGAAGAAGTTAGGAAATTTTTAACATAATTAAATTCAAGATTTCTGTCACTGGATGATGACATCATCTAGCTTATATATAATAAATGTCGACCAACAGGATTTCAGCTTATGCCTACAACTGTTTTTTTAATAATTAAATAAATCTTTGCACATTACAGACTACATTATAATGTGTTCCTCATTTCACTGTATGCTCTTGGATACTCACTTAACGGGCGCCCCGTTTAACGACGAATCCGCATAGCGATGAATTTTTTGCGATAGTTTTTGCGATCGCATTGCGATGTTTCTAATGGGAAAAAATCGCTTTGCGATGACCGGTAAGCTGTTTCGCTTACCGATTTTCGCATAACGATGATTTCCCAACAGCTGATCGGCGGTTCCAAAATGGCCACCGGGTAAAAAAATGGCTGCCCGCTGTGTTTTCGACTGGAATCCTCGCTTACCGGGCAGCAAAAATGGCGGCCATGTGGAGGATTTTCGCATAAAGGTGAGTTTTTTGCCCACAGGAACGCATTAAACGGGTTTTAATGCATTCCTATGGGCTTTTTTATTTCGCATAGCGACGAATCCATATAGCGACGATTTTGGCTGCACGGATTATCGTCGCTATGCGGGGCACCACTGTATTTTACAAGTGCATATTCATTTAAACACTTCATATTATTCATATCTCACCTCTTAAAAGAGGTTATCAGGGACACTTAAAGAATAAAAGCATTTGAAAACTGAAAACAGCAGAACACAATACAGAAAATAATACACCGATTAAGATCAAAACATATCAATTTCATTCCTGAATACAATATGAGTGGTACAAGCTGCATGAATCAAATAATAAATATTGTGATCTTATGGTTGTTGTGGGTTTTTCGGACTCTTTGGCCGTGTTCTGAAGGTTGTTCTTCCTAATGTTCCGCCAGATTTGTGATCTTATTGAGAAATTACATTAATATTCCTTATTGGCTTCCCTACTGCAAAAATTTTTTTAAACATAGTATAATGCCTCTGGCAAACACAACAACAAAAAGGATCAAATGAATTATTTTATGATAGATTAACCTCTCTGTGCTGACACAGTTCCAGCCTGATATCAGAAATGTTTCAAACTGTCCTGCAGAATTACCGTAATTGTTAGCAACCCCTATGTATGACATAACAGTCAATGAGAGCTGAAAGAGGGATGTGAAACATTACTTTTATGATAGTCCTGAGAATGTGCATCCTGCTTGATTTAGTTCCCCACAGCTCCTCTTACCAGTGGAAGCAGTAAAATAGACCACCTGTGTAATTTTTAAAAATGTAATACTGATACCAAAAAAATGGAGGCTCCCTGTCAGTTCCACTAGTAGAATACACTGGAACAAAAAAAGGGGGAGGGATTGTATTCTTAACTTCCTTTGTTGTCTTACCCCCCCTTGCTGGTTAATATTACACTTTTTTTTTTGCTTTCTACCAGGATACGACAGACAAGACTCTCTCTTCCCCACTTCAACATACTATATCAAATTGGTCTTAGATCAGGTATTCCCAGCCTCAATAAGCCACAAAAATTGCTGGTTATCTTGGGCCAGTCACTGAGACAGCCTAATCTATCTTACAGAGCTGGTGTGAGGATACAGTTGTTAGGAAAAGAGTAACATATGCAACTTTGGGATATAAATGTGACCAATATAGTATCATCTGGCTTTCGACAGCCTCAGAATGGAACTCCAGTGGCAGAGACTTGAAGAACTCAGGACAGTGAGTGGTCCTTCCCTCTTGGATTATGAGAAGGCATACAGTATTCCTTTTGATTGCCTTGGATGTACCTGAATGAAAGACCACATCTTTCCTGTTACGGGGTGTGATCTTGGAATCCATCATGTGCACCTTTTGATATACCTCACCAGGGGCCAACATGCTTCTAATATCTATGATTGGGTCTAGGCAGAGGAGAAAACTGGCCCACAATGTCTTCAACTGCTCTCTGCTGTTGTGGCTAAAGAACAATTTTGCAAAACTTGTAGTGGAAGTTCAACACACCAGCATTTATTCTTTTGCTTCTGGTGTTATTTTTTAAACCAATATGCAAACCCTTTTACCAGACAAGGCTCAAATACTGGTCTACTGCTTCCTAACTAGCAGTCTACGGAGCAAGCAACTGGAGACAGCTGCTGTCAGTTTAAGTCTGTGGCTGCCCTCGTTGTGCATCTCGGTCTCCTGCCTTGGTCGCTTTGCAAAAGAATATTCCCCAGCTCCACGTATTTTAAAACCTTCGGCTTTTAGCTAGTACAATAAATTTAAACTTGGAACTTAAAACCTTATTCCAGAAAGACTGCATGCTCTCTATAGGCATCTTGCCTAGGGAATCACATGGACGCTACATTCTATTTATGTCCATCCCCTTCTTTGCGTGCGTGTGTACCTGCCACCAGTCCTGTTCTGTGATACAGTATTCTTGAAGGCATTAGAGTAACATACGTTTTTGCAGCACTGAGGAGGTTTTGGCTAAGGACCTAGAAAGGAAACACTTCTGGTCCCTCAGGGAAACCAGACAATTCTGTCCAGCTTGGAAGTAAAAACGCAAGATAGTAGTTAATTATGATGGTACAGCAAAATATATATTTCCATAAATGTAACAGCAACAAATTTTAGAATATTAAGTTACCTATAAAAATGGTAGAGAAAAATCAGTTCAATTTTAGAAAGGTACAACAATCCCCTCACTACACAGATATTGTATATAATATATACAAGTTATATATAAATACATTTTATACATTCATATTACCCAGAACACATTTTAATTAGATGATGTATTATTAGTGGAGATAAATGAAAAAGCTTACCAGGAGGCATTTTTCTTTATTTTTTCATCAATATCAACAAGTACCTGCTGGAATTCCAGTTCTCCAGGAAGTACATTTAACAAACAATCCAAGTTGGAAGAATCAAGTGAATATTCACCTCCCCACTCCATTTCCAAATGCTAAATTGGATAATAAAAACAGAACAGATCAGAAATCAAACATTTCAGTTCATTCAACTGATGCCTTATACTGGAAATTTTGATCATAAAAATGCTAACAGATCAGAAACAAAGAAATAAACAAGACCAGTTCCGTACGGCCTCCCCCTTCTACTACCATCTACTTGCAGCAACTACTCCATCAGAATCCCTCAGATGGAGAAATGAGAACCAGAGCCACTCTGCTGATTCTACGGAAAGACTGGTTCCATTTAATTTCTTCTCTTCCTAACAGCCACTATAAAATCTTTGTAACTTTAAGACTGGGTGCCTGCTTGCCTTTTCTCATCCTTTATTCTTTTTCCCTTTGTGTAGTGCCTGGAGCTGGTTGTGGCTCTGATCATCAGCTTCTCATAGCAAAAGTCAAGCTTAAACTGTAGAAAGTAGGAAAAACCACTGGGCTAGTCAGGTATAATCTTTCTAGACCAAATCCCTTATGAATACACAGTGGAAGTGAAGAACTGATTTAAGGAACTCGATTTGGTGGACACAGGGCCTGAAGAACTATGGATGGAGGCTCGTAACATTGTACAGGAGGCAGCAACAAAAACCATCCTAAAGAAAAGGAAACGCAACAAAGCAAAGTGGCTGTCCAGCGAGGCCTTACAAATAGCAGAGAAGAGAAGGGAAACCAAATGCAAGGGAGATAGGGAAAGTTACAGAAAATTCAGTGCAGACTTCCAAAGAATAGCAAGGAGAGACAAGAGGGCCTTCTTAAATGAACAGTGCAAAGAAAGAGAGATATTCATATACCCCGTCTCTACTTCTGATTAGTGCACAGTGCTTCCACTAGGAGGGTTCAATGGACTTGATGAATTAATTGTATGGAAATGTGCTTTCTTTCTCTCTCTTTCCTTCTTTTTTTAACCCTCAGCAATTAAGCATTATTATGGGGTTTAACACTGCAAAGATATAGAGGAAAATATTAGAAAGGGAAAAAACAGAGATCTGTTCAAGAAATCTGGAGATATTAAAGGATCATTTTGTGCAAAGATGGACATGATAAAGGACAAAAAT